CCCTGCATTTTACATGCCATGTGCATCCGGCCAATGATGGAGTGTCGATAATGTTCCCTTGTTTGCTGTTGTCTCAGGCATTTGGGAGCGGGGAAAGTAGGGAATGAGAAGTTTGTATGATTACACGTACAGTAGTAAAAAAAAGGAGAAAGGTGAGAGAAGATGTTGGAGACGAAAAAAGGAAACTATAGGACAAGGTAGCTCTTATCTGGCACGAAAAAAAAGGTAAAAAGAGATGTCGTTAAACTCATCATATTTGAAAGTAATCAGTAGCTATCCTCAAATAATATACACACAAAAAAAAACCAAAGAGTTTCTATTTCCGCTCTCCTTGCTCTATCGCTTCAAAACCACAAAAAAAAAATCATCCCATTTTACAACTTTGCAAAAACTGTTGGGACAGCACCGCCCATCTCGACCAAGGTACTCTTATTCCTGACCCAAGCCTCAAGTCCCTTCTTGCCATTCTCGACACCAACACCACTCTGTTTCCAGCCGCCGACACTCATCTCGGCAGGGCTTTCGCCCCAGGTATTAATCCAGGTGATGCCTGCCTCGAGCCTGGCAATAACCTTATGCGCGGTATTCAGATCCTTGGTGAAGATACCGGCGGCGAGACCGAGCGGCGTGTTATTCGCGCGAGATACGACTTCGTCGATGGAGTCGTAAGAAAGGATGGACATGACGGGGCCGAAGATTTCTTCTTGGACGATTTTCATGGCGTCGGTGCAGTTTGTGAAGACGGTGGGTTGGACCCAGTAGCCCTTTTTGTACGAGGCTTCCGGGTGCGAGGCGAGCCATTTGGGGGGCTCTGGGCCGCCGTAGAGCAAGGTGGCTTTGTCTGAGTCTATACCGTGGCGGATGTACGAGAGGACCTTTTCGTAGTGCGGTTTTGAGACTAGAGGGCCGAAGTTTGTGGCGGGGGAGTAGAGGTCGCCGGGGCGGATGTATTGCATTTTTTCGACGAGGCGCTGCTCGAATTGCGACTTCATGGATGCGGGGACGAAGACGCGGGTGCCGTTTGTGCAGACTTGGCCAGTGGAGAAGAAGTTTGCGAGCATGGCGCCGTCGACGGCTTGGTCGATGTCTGCGTCGGGGAGGATGATGCAGGCGGATTTGCCGCCGAGCTCCATGGTTACGTATTTCATCTCGCCGGCTGCGCTGCCTGCGACCTTTTTGCCCGTAGAGACCTGGCCCGTGAAGCTGACTTTGGCAATGCCCGAGTGTGCAGTGAGGTATGCGCCTACGTCGCCGCCACCCTGGACTACGTTGAAGACACCGGGAGGCACACCGGCTTCTGCGTAGATGTCGGCCAAGACGGTCGAGTGGAGAGGTGTGAATTCTGATGGCTTGTAGACCATGCAGTTTCCAGCGGCGAGGCAGGGAGCAGATTTCCAGAGAGCGATTTGGATGGGGTAGTTCCACGCTCCAATTCCTGCGCACACACCCAGAGGGCTCTTGGTTGTGTATACCCATGCGTCCGGTCGTAGCGGCGCCGTCTCGCCGTTCATACCGCCTCCTCCAACTAGGTTTGCGAAGAATTCCAAGACATCTGCGCCTGTGACAATGTCGACAGTCGAGGTCTCGGAGAAGGGCTTGCCCGTGTCTGCGGTTTCAATTCTTGCCAGCTCATCGTTTCGCGAGCGCAGAATAGCTGCGGCCCGCTGGAGAATGCGCGCGCGTTCGATGGGAGGCGTGGCGGACCATGCTGGAAAGGCCTTGTGAGCAGAGGCTATGGCAGCATCAATGCCAGCGTTGGTGGTTGCGTGAATGTTTGCGACAGGCTGCGCGGTCGCGGGATCAATCGTTTGAAATGTAGACGAAGAACAGGCTGGTTGTATCTTGCCGTCGTAGTAGGCAGAGCGAGGCGCATATGGGAGAGACATGGTCAGGGAGCCTGTTTGGCGCAATGGAGTGGAAGCAACAAGTGAAGATAAAACAGGGCTCGTACGGGAGTGTCACGAAGATGGAAATACGGCGGGAAACAAATCAAGCACCGAGCGTGCACTGCAAGGTATCAGTTTTGTCCCGGAAAGATAATGCAATGTCAAGCAAGGTACGAGGTTGTGTGCCAACATTTGTAGTAGTATATAGGCCATCTATGCAGAGTGACAGCTAGAGGCAGGGGGAGCTTGTATGCAGCCGTTGCGCTTTGGTTTCCCGTCTGAGGTTAGTCGACGAAGAACCGGGTCGCGTCGGACAAAAAGATGGTCTGGTCGTACGTATGCCAGGAAATGGAGGGTAATGCGCAGCGGTTTCCAGCGGGATGGCGCGACGTCTTTGAGCTCAGAGTTTCTCACAGGTGGCACAAAAGGCCTTGTCGGATGGCTGTCGTTCTCACCGCCTTTGGATCGGGGAAAGTGCGGCGTGGAATTGCAGGGATCCCACGCTCGGAGCATGCACACTCAGCGGGGTGCGCTAGTCTGCATGTGGCAATGGCGTCATTGGTCCGTTTTGCACCTTTTTTTTGCGTTGCTGACCTCCCGACTGATATGGGACGAACGAAGGGCGTGGGAGAAAGCCTTTGGTCCCTTCATCTGCATCAGCCGATGACAACAACTATAATCTCTGATTCGTCGTCAACAACCCCTCTCCCATCTAGTTCACGTTTCCCCGCTCAGCCGTCGCATTCCCGCTGACATACGCAGCTAGGACGTTGACCAAAGCACGTGCATCGTTCCGGCCCTATCGCAAACGGCCCTTTTTAGGCCCTCTTATCTTGGAAAGCAAGTTACACATCCTGCAGCGGAACTACGACACGCCATCCGCCCAACCTCACCACTCAATCGACTCGCTTTGGGTATCCGAGTCTCTGCCGACCGTGACCCCCAGGTCCGTGCTGAAAAGATTGACCTTTTCACGCCGTACTCTGCATACATATAAGCTTGCCTCTGCGTGAAAACCTGGTTGAGATCAAGGAAGTATCCTCCTCACCAATCCATTCCTCTTCATCTTCCACCCACACGCGACCATGGCTTTTGAGACTGTGACGTCCATCCCCAAGGATGCCGACTACGACTTTGTCATTGTCGGAGGGGGCACGGCTGGCTGTGTTATTGCCTCGCGCCTCACAGAGTACCTCCCCAACAAGAAAGTTCTCCTAGTCGAGGCTGGCCCAAGCGACTTTATGGATGACCGTGTCTTGCTTCTCAAGGACTGGCTCAACCTTCTTGGAGGAGAACTTGACTACGACTACGGCACTACCGAACAGCCCAATGGCAACTCTCACATTCGACACTCACGTGCAAAGGTCCTTGGTGGCTGCTCCTCACACAACACCCTCATCTCTTTCAGGCCGTTTGAATACGACTGCAAGAGGTGGGAGCAGCAAGGGTGCAGGGGATGGAGCTTCAAGACGTTCATGCGCGTGCTTGACAACCTCCGCAACACCGTTCAGCCCGTGCACGAGAAACACCGAAACCAGCTCTGCCTCGACTGGGTCGAATCATGCTCAACCTCTTTGAACATTCCTGTAGTCCACGATTTCAACCATGAGATCAAGACCAAGGGTGCTCTCAAGCCTTCAGTCGGCTTCTTCTCGGTCGCATACAATCCTGATGATGGTCGCCGAAGCAGCGCCAGTGTAGCCTACATTCATCCAATTCTCCGTGGCGAGGAGACTCGCAACAACCTGACTGTCCTTACCAATGCATGGGTCAGCAAGATCAACGTGTCAGGCAACAAGGTCACTGGCATTAACCTCACCCTTCAGAGCGGCGAGAAGCTCACCCTCAACCCCAAGTGCGAAACCATTCTCTGTGCAGGTGCTGTCGACACCCCACGATTGATGCTTTTGTCCGGTCTTGGCCCCAAGCAACAACTCTCCGACCTTGGCATTCCCGTCGTCAAGGACTTGCCCGGTGTAGGCGAGAACTTGCTTGATCACCCAGAGAGCATCATCATCTGGGAGCTCAACAAGCCCGTTCCTGCAAACCAGACTACCCAGGATTCCGATGCTGGTATCTTCCTGCGACGACAGGTCCCCAATGCCGCTGGTGACGACGGTGAGATTGTTGACCTCATGATGCACTGCTACCAAATTCCTTTCTGCCTGAACACTGCTCGGTAAGTTTCGAATAACTTGTAACAAGAATAAAGTTCTAACATTTATCAGTCTTGGTTACGACTCTCCTATCGACGCCTTCTGCATGACCCCCAACATCCCTCGTCCCCGCTCTCGCGGCCGCCTCTACCTCACTTCTGCCGACCCTAATGTCAAGCCTGCTCTTGACTTCCGCTATTTCACTGACCCAGAAGGTTACGATGCCGCTACCATTGTCGCTGGTCTCAAGGCTGCGCGAGAAGTCGCCAAGCAAGCCCCATTCGCCAACTGGATTAAGCGCGAAGTCGCACCTGGCCCCCACATCACTTCCGATGAGGATCTCTCCGAGTACGGCCGCCGCGTCGCCCACACCGTCTACCACCCTGCCGGTACTACCAAGATGGGCGACGTCACCAAGGACGAAAAGGCCGTTGTCGACCCCGAACTCAAGGTCCGTGGCCTCAAGGGCGTGCGTATCGCTGACGCCGGTGTTTTCCCCGAAATGCCTACCATCAACCCTATGTTGACTGTGCTTGGTATTGGTGAGCGTGCTGCCGAGCTGATTGCGCAAGAGTGGGGCTGGAAGGGTCTGGAGAAGCAGAAGTTGTAAATGTGGATTGCGGGGAGAGAGGAAAAGTGGGCATTTGGCTGGCCATTTTGTTACGATTAGATGACGTGTTGTAAATTTCCTTTCATGTCTGTATATCTTGATAGTAGTTATGCTTTGGTATCTTCTAATGTACCAGAATACGACAATACCCTTTCCATGAGTCGCAGAATTTTTTGAATGTAGCATGTGATTTGGATGTTGCAGTCCAATCACTATACAGGGAAGGAGACTTAAAAGCTCCCAAGCCGATCGACGCTTCTTCGCTTTCAACGGTTAAAGAAGCTTCGACGTTTGTGTGCTCCCCACCCCACTTAGTTGTACAAAACCCATTTCCAGAACTCTAGTTACAAAAGCAAAAAAAGGTAGTACGGCTAAATCGCCTTGGTGTTTGCCTGTACAATCGCCCTTGTCATCCATTCAATATACCCAAACGCCATAGTTTTTCTCTCTCTCTTTCTCAGTCGTCAAATTCAAACATCCTGACCAGACCATCATCTTCTCCCGCCTCTTCCTCGTCCTCGCTATCACTCTCTTCACTATACTCAACCGCAAACCGGTCATCAAAAGGCCCACCACCCCTCATTTCCTGCTCACCCCAACCCGCCTCTTCCCCGCCTTCCTCGACCTTTCCCTCGCTCTTATCCGCACTACGTACGAAATCGCCAGAAGCATCCGTATCATACATATCAAGCACATACCTGCCCTTGGCATCGGTAAACTCGCGCTGCGTGGGCTCACTCTTGTTGCGCGCTTTACTCCTCTTCTTGTCCGCCTCTTCCTTCTTCGTGAGCCACTTGCAGATGGGAGCGGGCAGCTCGTTGCGGCCGAAACCCGACTTGGCGAGGCCCCAGCTGGTGAGGGAGGCGGCGTACTTGTTTGTCGTTGAGAGGGCGGCGGCGCTGATGCTTAGGGTGGCTTTGCCCACGCCAGAGGTTGCGAGGGCCGTAGCGTACGAGACGGTTGCGCTGCCGACTTTGGTGAGGGCGTGGTTGGAGTCTTGCAGGGCCGCAGACCATGTGCCGGGGAAGGGGTAAGAGGGGGACTGCGAAGTTAGTGAAGGTGAGTGGAGGAGGCGGGTGTCTTTGTGGCTCACGTGTGCGGTGGGGGTAAGAGGTGAGAGGTCCTGCCATTCTTCGGTGCTCTCTAGCGACTCGTATTCAGAGAGAGAAGAATCGTCGTTTTCTTCATCTTCGGTGACTGCAGGGATGTCTGCTGGGTTGATGAAACGGGAGCAGAATGCTTCTGGCTGCGCTTGGTGTGTGACTGGACGCTGGATATGCAACACTAACTGCTTGTTGCTCTGGACTTCCTCTTCACTCTCGTCTTTCATGCCGTTAAAGTAAACATGTTTCTGGGGGCTCGACTGCTTTCGACTCTGAGGTTGCTCGCGCCGGGTTCGGGACCGGCCTCTGGATCTGCCCCTTCCGACCTCGTTGCTGCCTACAGCCTCGCGCCGAGACCTCGTAGTATAGACCATGACGCTCACCGTGTACAGGACTTGAAAGTGCTATATCTTCTCAGTATCAGTATACACAACTACGGCAGTGTCCAAAAGCAACGCAAAAAACAAGCAAAGCGGCACGGGAGTTCTCGTGCGTCGAGGATGAGGTAGCGACTGCGGCAAGAGGTTCTTGAATTGGGCGAGGAGAGGGTAAGAAAGAAGGTGAGGTTTGACGGTGACGCTGCTGGATTGTTGTAATCAGGTCGCGCTGCGCGTGAACCTGGGTTGTGGTGGTGACTTGCTACAAACGACTAGGGGGACGTCATAATGTATACAGTGATAGCTAGTAGAGGGGAAAGTGGAGTGTTTGCAGGACAAACGGTCGGCGTTCGTAGGTGCCAAGGTTTTGAGGGACTTATTTGGGGTGGATGGTTGTCCCCACACGATTCGCGACCGAATCCAAAGGTAGCCTTACGTTAGACGAGGCTGTGGTAGGGCAGTGGGGTTTACCATGCTCGTGATGATAACCTTGGGACTGCTTTGGTCCTTTGCAAAATTAAGTTGCCAGTGAGTTTTCATAACAATCAGCATCTACTGCATGGAGCTTTCACTTTCTCGCTCCCGCGCCAAGGTGTGAAAGCGCACACACGTGACCTTAATGACTGTAAGGTAACTTGTTGTGCCGACTCAACAATGTCTTCTAAGTTTCTCTATGAGACAAAGGTCGCTAAAAATCCTTTATTGGGGCACTTGTCTCCAGTTTGTGCTCTATATCAGGCAGTGTGGTACGTCGCGCGCTCAGCACGCGGTGACACAGAGTGAAAGCATACTCAACCATTACGAGAGATTTCTCGAACCCTTCTCACCTCTCAGCGAAGGTTTATCCCAGAGCTGTCAAAACCCAAACCTTTGCACACAATCACCCTGTGTACTATTCCCTGGCTTGTTCTCACACCTTTTAAACTACTCGCAACTCCACATTCAATCTACCCTGAACAACCTATATACCACCAGCATATACAAAAGTCGAAGTAGATATCAATACCAACCATAAGATGGCTAACCGATGTCCGCTGGAAACTCTTCTGACAACTCAATGCGCACTCACTAACTTCCCACAGCTGTGTATATCTGCGCTCAGGACCCAAGGCACTTGATGTGCGAATTGCTAGAAATCATGCACAATGACGAAGACAACAACTACTTGTCCCTTTCCTGTAGGAGAGCTATGGAAAAGCACCTCGTCTCAAACCTTCACCAGTCGTTGTTTCCAATTTCGCTGCTCGACGAGATTCGTGCGGCTGATGACCAGGCCATCCAACGATCTCGACAGTCTGAGGCAGCTAGGAGGAACAGAAGGGACTTAGGAGAGACCCCGAATGCGATTCCAAGGCCAGTCCCTAATACAGGCGAGAGTCACATGCGAGCACCGCGTAATATCACTAAGTCGTTCTTGTTGACTAAATACGACCGGCTCGTCGATGAAGCGCAGCCGGCCCACTTCAAGCCACCACCAGCTCCTTCGAATAAAAGAGGTTCATCGTCGACTGATAAGGCTTCTAGTGTCAATACTCCCAAGGAGAATAGGTTACCGCGTGATGTTAACCGGGCCTTCTTTATTGCTGACGAGGATGACACATCTGTCGATGAATCTCGGCCAGTCCATCACAAGTCACTACCAGATCCTCTGAATATAAGGGAATCATCGTCGACTGAGAAGGCTTCTAGTGTCAGTACTACCAGGGAAGATGTGTTACCGCGTGATGTCAACCAGGCCTTCTATGTGGCTGACGAGGACGAACCACAGACATCTTCTCCGCATTTACTCGCTCAAACTTCAGCCGAGCAGACTTTGGCACCTATCGGAAACAGGAAAGTCTTAGGGGAGATTTCGAATGTGATTTCGAGGCCAGTGATTGGCCCAGGTAAGAGCCATTTAAGAGGGCCGCTTAATATCAACCAATCATTCTACGTAGCTGAAGATGACGAAACAGTCATCGATGAATCTCCGCCAGTGACTGAGCCAGATGAGAGTCATTTTGGAGAACCGGTTAATTTCAATCAATCCTTTTGTATCGTTGAAGACGATCCATCTGACGAACCCCCACAAGTACACCACGAGCCACCACGAGCTCCTCCGAATCCATACGCTCAACCTTCGACCGGACAGCCTACCCGTGTTAGTAAACCAAAGGCTAATACTCAGCAAAATGTCAGGTCTACTCTCTGCCCAACTCAAAATGACCAGCCATACCGGAGGATAATCACCAACGCCAACTACGACGCAGCCGTAACCTTAAAGGAACTCGAGGAGTCTTTCATCGAAGAGACAGAGCCAGCTGATGATGGCTCCCAAACAGAAAAGGCCACCGAGCCCGACAGCCCCACCGACCCGAACACCGCGCCCGCCGCCCACGTCTTCGAAGAAATCCCAAAAATCGTAGTCACCGACTCGCGCGAAAACATCCAAGCCATCGTGGATGCCGAGCGCAACGAGCCCGAGCAACCCGCAGAGAAATCCACAGAGAAACCCACCAAAACCGCACAAGAGGTTCCCGAATACAACTTCTACAAGCAAAAGAAAGCAGGTTTCTACGACAGAGCAGCCGACGAGCCAAAGCGCCTATATCCTTCCACGATTGTAGAGAGAAGAGACAATCTACCTCCTAGCTGGTCTGCGCGCAGTATGGGAAAGAGGAGTCAAAGGCCTCCTCGTCCTGCCTGTTCGTCACCGCCGATTCAAAGGGCTGGCTCGGCGCCGGTGCCTGCTACGAAGGCTACGGAAGTTATGATGGGAAAAGGGCTAGATACTGCGGAGCCAAGGACTACAACAGGGAAGCGGGCGCGTGGCGCGGAGCCGGGGACTGCGAAGAAGAGGCTCAGGAAGCCTGGTGGGGGGAAGAAAGATGTGTAGGGTTTGGGACAATGGGGAAAAGGGTATTGTGTAGTTTTTTCCCCTTGGGGTTGGCGTTTTTGCTGGCATCTCGGAGTCTTCTTTGTTGATGGTGGCTTTATATCCCGTTAAGTTCGGTTTCTTTGTTGTTGTATCATTCTACCTAAAGATAGAAGCTGTGCTCTTGCTCTTTGCATTTTGTGTCTGCTCTAGCATACTCTGAATACCGTTACTGCTCTTCATGCGTTAGTTTCTTTGTTGTTTTCCTAGTAGGGTTACTGTACGATAGTTCGTGTCCGGCACTTGTTCGTTCGTACGTTCGTACGCTCGCACGCTTTCCTTGTTACTGAGAAATATAGCGCTTGCTCTTCTCGATTTCTCAAGCTTTTGCACATTCGAACTGTATTTCCAAGTCACTGCACTGTTTCTTGTCACGCGTTTTATCCTCGTAATTTATCGTTCTAGAGCTTTACTTGTGTTTCTTTCAGTCAGGCATCGTGGTCAAGCCAGCGTGTGGGTTCACGACATTCTTTCTTTGTCTATCGCAAGATAGAAATATTCTAATTGCATCTAACTTACTATGTTTCTTCGAGATCCAAGACGTCCTCGTCCACCACGACAGGCTGGCAACTAGGACACCCGATGCAGTAAGGCATAACAGTCCAGCGATTAAGATAGCAGGAATGTATGTGATACGATAATATGTCGTTGTTCCAATGCCCTCAGTCTCAGCTTCGGTATCAGTGTTATTGCTCGACGTGGCCGCTGCGATTTCATACCGCATGCGTTCTATATCCCCAATAGCTTATAGAAAGTTCTCCACAAATGTCTCATACTAAAATCGTGTTTGTTCACGTTAGATATTGTTGGCTCCGCCTTCACTCATGCCGTCAATCATCTCGCAGTCCAGCTAATTGTAGTACTGAGCACTGGCAGCAAACGCGCCACCAAATCTAGAAAATTCACCGCTTAGGCTTTGAATGCGACGATTGTCTGGAGCTCTCTTATGAGTATAGGGAATCTATATGGTTCGCCTCATATGGAGTGGCTGGACATGCTCCACCCCGACAGTATCGACGCGCTAGAGAAATTGCTGATGGTATTGATCGGTCGAGATTCACTGACAAGTTATGGACGGCGTCCTATTTCAAGACTATACAGCGCAATCCCTAGGCCTGTGGCTGATCTCCCATGTATGCTCGTGTGGTGCCAGCACCAGCATCTTGATAGGTCAAATTTTGAATCCGGGGTATGATCGGCCCATCTACGGTTTCTAGATACTGTTTTGGACCGGCGCCACGTTCAGCACTGGAGAATTCCTGTTCAGGAACGACGAAAACTTCTTGGAAACGTGTAATCACGCCAAAGAAAACGTCAGAAAAGCTGGATTGCTTAGGATACCCGTACGAATAGGCTACGAAGCAGCGTATAGGCGAGAAAACAGTGGAGTTTTGCCCTAATAGGATCTCGTCTACATTCGATTGTGAGAAGATTTCGAATTTTAAAGGCATAGGATTCTTATAATCCTCTATAGATGTTTTCATGACTTGACGGCTATATTGTCTAATAGTAAGGCTTAGTATTGTAGAGTTGAGATCTGCCGTATAGTTGTTCGCTAGTTTGAATCCTCGAACTCCTGTGAGACAAGTTATATTAGAGTCTATCGAATTCAAGGAGTTGATAGTAGCATGTACGCCTACGTAAGAGCGATCTAGGAAGAGCTGTGCGATTTCGCTCCGAATATTAAACTCCGTGTACAATCTGGAGACGCGGCTTGCAAGCGAGAGTTGCTGTTCTAAGGTAAAGCCAAACATGTCTGAGATAGGTCTAGTCTAGACACTTCGACATGCACGCGGATTGTCCGAACCTGTCTTTTCATTCAACAGTCTCAGTGTGATGTTGCAGTTACCCTGTACCACCGTAAAAGATTCGTATGCGATAATGTTAGACATCATCGATTTGGAAACGGCCGAAAGCAGCGTTAGCACCGCGAACACGGTGGACTTTCCATTCTTTGGCTTGAGAAGCTTCTGTAGCTTGAAAAGATCATAAAATCCGCTTGATGTGCAGCTTGCTTCAACCGCAACGCTGAGAGGAACTGGCTGGGACTCAGGCTCGGCGAAGACTGACGTTTGCGCGCTATCGAACCAGCACCAGTTGAAAGCAGACATGATTAGTGGAGCAAAGACGGTGCCGGATATGAAATTGACTCCTTTGGCTAACCCGAGTAACATTGTTCCTCCTATCGTCGCCATTTGCACTATGCTTTGCAGTTGGTGACCTGATGGTGGAACTATGGTCGACCAGATTATAGCCGCTACTACCGGGACAGCAAGTGTCAGAGCGACCAGACCAATGATGACCCTGTGGTCATGGCCGGTTGATTCATGGCTGAATGATTTTGAGGTACGGGGAGTCCAGCTTTAGGCAATGGAGATGTGTTGGCGGTTGACCGTAGGGACGGAGGCTTGTTTGCGATATTGCTCTCCCTGATGAACGTTGAAAGAACTGATTGGGGTATCATCGGAGATCTCCAGGTCTGTCTTTGAACAGTATCCATTTTCGACAATGATATGGTTTATCTCTCATAGCGATCTAAGGCGAAAGGTCGCCTAAGATAACAATATGAGCAATGTCCTCATATGGCCTACCCTACCCTCTAGCATTGCATAGAACCCCTGCCGTCGATAATGGCATGTGCCAGACACTGTCTTTAAGTTGTCCATATAGAGTCTGTTACTTTTGTCCCGCATGCCAAGATCAGGATTCAACGCCACCGCCTGTTTTCTCAGCTTTCTACTGCAGCTTGACTATTTCGGCATAAGCCAAGTATGCAACAAGATTAGTAAAAATAGATAATTTGCCTATGTGGGCAACTCGCCTGCGGGGAACGTTAGTGTTATAGTTTGGGTGTGTAGAAACCCGCCGTTTGGGTATTGGAAAAGTCATTGAAAAAGCCATGATTGGGACACGTAACCCTAACAATAAGCATGTGTGGGCGCAGTTCGGGTAGCGAACTGCGCCTCATATTGGTTAGGATGTATGCGCAAGATGACGTGGCCAAACAATCCGGTTTGCGAGCCTGAAGGATGAAATCAGCCAACAGAGACAATTATACATCTCTTAGCTCTGTTAGAGATAATTTTCTACTATTACATGTTGCTTTTGGAAGTCACAAACTAAAATACTAACATGTTCTCGTATACACACATCATACTACTCACTTCGTGCTTTGCGAATCTTGTACTCGCAAAATCACACAGCCCTAACTGTACTCTTCCCCCTGATAATTCAAACTATGTCGCTGGTGTCAATGTCCGATCCACTCTCGATATCTTCTGGAGCGCCATATATACAGTGTTTGTTTGTACGTGGGCTGTTCAACACCTGAACGTTCCTCCTCCTAAAGCATCTACACCGGATTTCCACTGGTGGCAATTTTGGAAAATCAAGATTCCAGCATTCTTTTGGACGAGACTAAAATGGATGCTACTCACAATTATCATGCCCGAGTACTTGCTTGGCGCAGCTTTGAGTGGTTATGTAGCTGCACGCAAATTTAAAAAATACACGAAAGAGCCAGGGAGCAAGGGTGAGAGATGGACAACAACACATGGATACTATGCCGATATGGGGGGGCTTGTATATACACTGCCCGAAACCCCTGGAAATTTCGAACCTCGTTTGGTCGCAATAAATTCGAAGCAGTTACGCTACTTACTGGACAAAGGATTCTTGGACCAGGAGCCTCCGATGTCTGAGGATGAAATACTGGACAAAAGTAAAGGCGATGCTTTTGCCACTATAAGCGCGGTGGTCCAATTACTCTGGCTTGTTACTCAACTCATCACCCGAAAGGTCCTAAAACTCCCTTCATCCCAACTGGAGATATTGGCTCTTGCCTTCGCAGTCTGCACCAGTTTCACCTATATCTTGAATTATCCTAAACCTCAAAATATACAAGTTCCGTCGCATGTATCCAATCTTCAGCGGAATCGTACTCAACATAGGATACTTGAGCACACTGAACCTGAACCTGAACCGGAACCTGAAACTGAATCTGAATCTGATTACAGCAATCTCGAAGAGGAACTGGAAGAAAGAGCATCGCAAAGCTACTTCAAAAACGCATTATGGCCATGGGAAGATAAGAAAGAATTGGAAGCTATTATACGAAACGACAAGCTCAACCCATCCTCTCAGCTCAAGATACTTAATGAAGGCAAATCTTATGAGTGGATCGTCGACGCTGATTCTATAGGATTTATAACCGGAGCCGTCATTCTTGGTTTGTGCCATTGCATTGCCTGGAATTTTCAGTTTCCCACGCCCATAGAGCGTTTGCTCTGGAGAATTGCTTCCGTAGGTATAACTGGCATCCTGCCTCTATTTTATTTTTTATGGTTTATGCTCACTTATGGGAGCGACCACCTTGGGAAGTTATATGATTATCTTCAGCTACCATTGTCATATATTTCGTTTTCAGTTTATGTAGTAGCACGGCTCTACCTTCTAGTGGCTCCATTTAGAGAGTTGTTCTACCTTCCGCCTGAAGCTTTTATCGCGACTTGGTCGGTATCCTTGCCTTATTTTGGGTAGCATTTTATATAGTGTGGTAAATGGGTCTCTGTAACGGGGTGAACGCCTTTTGGGTAGATGCTCGATGGAATCTCGGTTGACTCGTAGAATCTAGGTACTACGCTGAGCATCTAGATTCTCTAAGCACCGCCCGAACAGCGCTCAGAAGACATCTTACGTGCTATGCCTTATCGGTCCGATTGTTGCTCAGGCAACTAGTTGTATATAGATAGCCACGTAGCTTAGAAGCTTAGCTCTCTATCGAATACAACCTCTTGTATACCTCGCGATTGCTCCACGGAGCGCAGTCCCCTTACAATCTCCACCTTCGGGATCGATTTTTCTTATTAGTTCTGCCAATTATTAACCAATCGGGAAAGTTAGTAGCTCGTTTTAAAGCCCTCTATTGGATATTTATTTTGGTCTCATATAGTAATAGGGTAACTCTAATAGGTAAGAAATTATTACTAGCCTACCCACCTTGCTAAGAGTTGCGTCTACATATTTTACTCCGATCGCAATTATCACCTTACCTATTATAGCTAGCATGTTATTATATTGGACCAAAATAAAGCTCAAAATTAGGGCTACAAAATGAGCCGCTAATGTCGCCGATTGCGTGGTTAGTGGCAGAGATAATTGCGTTTTTGAGATCCCGATGTGGAGACACATTTACCAGCCTAGGCCCGCCACAGTACAGATAGCGGTGGCTATCTTATGTATCAACTACAAAACGATATCAGCATGCTCTGATATCTTACGCAGGCCTCTTTGGTGCGGTGAGGCGACTTGTAGTTGGCTGCGCAGTCCGATAGGGCTCGAGCCGTTACAGATATGTAGTATTAATAGAATACGCGATAGTATAGTTAATAACTCGCTTTTTAGTATCAGAGGCTAATATACTAGAAGAGTAAGAGCTCTAGGGTAGATACGTATTACGCCCATCTATATATAAGCATATTATGGGATAGTCTGAGGGTCCGGAAGAGAAAGCGTCCCGTTACACCGTGCGTCCCGGCACGTAAGACTGGACGTAAGAATTTCTGTTGACCAGTTAGGGGAAGGCTTCTTCTTCTACTTCCATACTTAAACACTGCCTGCCGACCTCTCATTACAGCTTCTGTACCAACTACTTCTGGTGTGAAAATATAAGTGTATCAATCTTTCCCTCTTTGTGACCCAAATGCACTCTTAGGTATTGGAGACCCTTACAGCATCAAACCCAAATTCCTTTCGATGTTCTAATTTGCAGGAAGGAGTGTTCAAGTTTTAGCACTGACAAAGTTTCGTTTACCTCTCTCTGACTAAATACTTCACAAATTTCAGAGACAGATACTGTTTGTAGCCACTTCATATATCTTGTATCAGCCAATACAATAACTATTAATTATTAGACAAGTAAACATGTACCTAACGCTACGTAAGAACACATCCAGCTCAGCGAAATCAATGTGTTTCTCTGATACAGCTTGCATAGCGCAGATGGCTGAATTATATGATTCGAAAATTGGCAGCCTTTTCGCCAAACTCTGCACCATCAATGACGCCCCGCTTCATACGAGCCGGTACAACAGTGGAACCAATATGAGCGCAATGAATTGACATAAATGGCTTGGTGTTGGTTGCGATCCCGGTTACCTCGCTGGCGTTGATATCATCGGTCCTCCGTAAAGTCATCAGCACAGCCGAACCCCTTACTCGGCAAACCAGATCCCCTGGCCGCGTGACGCGCGAGCCCATGCCCACGAGACCCGATGCCGTACGGTACACGATACGGCACATTGATGGCCATGTCATGCACTCGAGGAACCCACCGGCGGTGGCGCCTTCTGCGCGCTGCCGCAGCTCAACTTGCACCTCAGCCGGCAAACTGTCGAAGACTGAGCGAACAGGCAAATAGCTCTTGTCACCATCATCATTAACATCACCGGCCTCAGATAACGCGCTTTGAAGCAGCTTGTGATACTCGAGAACGTAGGCGGCAAACGATCGATGGTGCTCCTCGAGCGCCTGATTCGACCCTATATCGCTGGCCGGATCATCCTTTTCTCGCGTACCGAGCGAGAGGGCTATTGAGAATGATTCCAGCACGGCCAGCGCGTCGCCACCGGGGCCCGTGAATGTGTTGCCTTGCTGTTCGGCAGGGTATATCAGCTCCCACACGCGATCGAGCCAGAAAGGATTTTGCTTTGTCCGCTCTCGTGCCAAGTGCGTGACGGGGAAATCTGTCGTTTCCATGCGGCTCGAAACAGTAGAGATCTCGTCGACCACCCAGCCTCGCACCAGGAGCTGTGGAAGCGATGTCCCATTCTCACAATTGACTCCACCCTCGAAGCTGATTTCTTCGTCCTTGGTCGTGGTCGCATCTATTGGGTAGTCGATCGGTGTGGTACGGTTAATGCTATGCCAATCGGGCACCCAGCTGGGCATTCTAGCTTCATGGTGCGGGTCCCAATCACACTGCTCTAAGGAAGGGTCAATCTCATGATCGACAAAGCTGACAACCTGCAGATTTTTCGTCTTCTGGATGAAGTTGACGGCTAGTCTCGTGTATATAACCCCACGCGTACACGTATAGTCAGGTTGAATTACAGGCTCGCCGCCAAGAACGGCCATAGGGTGACCGAGTAGACTAAACACGCGGTCACGTGGGTCAGTTACGCCCAAGATGCGCGTCCAGTGCATAGCAGTCAGAAAGTCGCACTTAGGCGTGTCATCTTCCTTAGTAGCCCAGACCATCACAATGTGATGGGCGACCCACGACGCTAGACCGAGATGCGTCACTAACGTGGCACCCCTGTAATCCAAGAACTGGACAAAGCGGCCTGTCAGTTCCCAGTCGATAGTGTCGACATCTAAGGCCCAATTTTCGTTCTCAACAGTAGTTGCATGGCCACTAGAATTCCCCTTGTCAGCCTTGGTACGCTCGTCGGCTGGCTTCAGAGCTGTGATCAAGAGAGCCTGTCGGGCGAGGCCAAGCTCTTGCACAATCCACGCGCGGTGGAAGTATTCAATCTCGAAGAAGAATCTGACAGCCTCCCACTTGTATGCTTGATTCTCAAATCGGCGCCGGTCGTCCTCGGATAAGTGAGCGACGTTCGCAGTGGGGTCAGCTAGGTAGTCGTGGTGAAGGAGGATGCGCGCGTCGCAGAGGCCAGCCTCTGGGTCTTTCATGAAATCATGGATGAAGCGGATGGCGTCCTGGATTAGGAAGCGACCAACCTCGCTCGTTTCCCAGCCGAGCCACGAGAGGACACGGCTCGCGCCGGCATAGATGAACGACATGAGTTTGACTTGAGAGAGACGTTCTTGCAGGTCATCCTGGTTGATGCACACTGCGTCAACCCACAGCCGCCGCACTGGTTGTCTTTGCGCTGGTGCCTTGCCCACATCTCGCTCTTCACTGTTCCCAGCAACTGGTCGATGCCGGAAGGCCGTCAGCGCCCCATGCAGGTTCTCTGTCACAGACAGTGTCTCTCCATCTATGGTGATGTTGCGCCGCTTTTGTGGGTCACCCCAAACGTATGATATGGCCTCATACGGCTCCGTGTCCATTGCCTGCGGCACCAGCCGCCCAACGATGGGGTCCGAGAATCTGCCGGCATCGAGCTCAAGGACGCGGATGAACTTAGGGGCGAGAGGGTGGTAGAAGTCGGGGAAGGGATGACGGCTTATATCCTTCATGCTGATCGGAAGCGGAGATCTTAGTGTAAAACAACATGTGTACTAAGAGGGGCCTACCATGCGACGGTGTCAAGCAAAAGTGGGGTGACAGCTTACACAGTCCGTGCACTGCAGGGATGCTCCATGTCGTTGTGCCGCGCTCTGATTAGCTGCATACAGAATCTGGATGCTCGGACCTGCACTTACACATTAGATTCTGCACAAGAGTGGGATTTGCATGACCTAGGAGGGGACATTAAGTAATGAATTTGAATTTAGAGTAGATATCATGCTCTTGGAACGGTGCTTTTGCTTCCAAACCATTTGCCTATCTTGTATGACGCAGTATCAGCGTGACACTGAGCTCACATGGCGTAATCTTCTCGTTCTACATAGTCAGCAACCCAAGATTGAAAATACTATAGTTAGGTCCTTCATTATGAAGCGAGGCACATACGGAAATAAGACGTACTCTAGAGACTTTGACTCAAATCTGTGTTTACAATCCAGCAGCATTGGATCATGATCTTATTGTCTCTAGAATCCCTGTATACCTTCTCCTGAGTAACTCTCCCTCTCACATGCTTAAAAGTACGGTTCCGTGGCTAATGTTCCTGCATGGTCACACATGCAGGAGTCTTAGAGAATGAGTTTTGAAAGGGAAACGAATTGAGTTTTCCAATTATGGGAAAAGTATATAAGCGGGCCTATTGGCTGAGTACTTAGGAAGCGCAAGGTGTGGGCTCCTGGGGAACTAAAATAGCAGGATCAAAACCACGCCAACTATCTGACCAAATCACAGCAACGGGTGTTGTAAATAATCTGATAAAATCTACAAAGGTGTCAGAAGTTTTACTAAGCATAGCACTATTTGTTTACTTAATATTGTAACTAAGTAGTGCGTAACGTTGATGTTGTTAAGGAGTTGTGCTGCTGTGGTCGGAGCAGCTTTTAACCGGCACAGTTACACAAAAGGCGGGGTCGCTTTCTGCGGACGTGTCGTAAGATTGAACATCTTCACCACAACCTCTTCACCACAACCTCTTCACCACAACCCAAGAATGGCTTCGCAAGATCCTAAACAAAATTCGGGCTCATATTGGCAACGAACCCCAACTTTAGCGTTGAAACAAGCTCTATGCTATTACTGCTGGGACATATCGTCCAATCTCAAGCGATGCATCGCTTGCAAACGGGTCTCATATTGCTCAGTAGAGTGCCAAAAGCAAGATTGGAACAGAAATCACAAGCAAATCTGTAAGAAGCTTGTTACTTTAAACAAGCAGAAAAGATATGTGCCCTCAGCTGGCAGACATTGGAGAGAATACCGTGAAGAGCAGGTATGTATATTATTCATCTCACTTGGCAAAACGAACAATTAGATTCTGAGATACTATTTAGGAGCTAGAATTCTCAAAATCCGGTACTATGGATCCTTGTGAACTTGGAACACTGATTGGGTATGTCTGAGAACCGACTGCTAATAAACTATGGCCATTTTGTATTCATCATTAAGCTGACACTTGCAGTTAGCCACGAACCATATTGCCGTCACTGTTATAGAAGAGAGTCTCAACTTGAAGATGGGGCGAATTTGAACGCCTGTCAATACTGTCATCTTACCTCGTTCTGTACCTCTTGCCAACAAACACATCCATCAGCGGAGTGCGCAACCTTGCAAGATGTTGCAGCTGATGCAAAGATTTCGTTGGATCTCTACCAGCAAACTGGAAATAGCCTGACGTTTTCTATCTCACAATTTCCTCGAAACCAACATTATCCTCTCTCTTCTGCAACGGACTGGTATGACTACTACACAAAGCTCTCAGACAAGGGTGTCCTCAGTTCCAAAATGAACCGAGATTTGAAGTACCAGGCAAACAACCCCGGAGAGCGAGCATTCGTCGAACGTATGAGATACGGCACCAATATGACAACTATTCAACTCACCTTAATCGCTGCCTTGGAGGCGACAATACCCAACATGGGCACTCGGGGTTCGATCAACCTTCACATTATAGGTGCAGCTAGAACAGAATATTCCTCTCTTCTTGCATTCGAGGAATTATTGCACCTTTTACCGTCGCTGAAAACACTTCAGTTATCATTCGTGGGTTTGAATGTAGAAACCCAGACGCCACCCACACTTCAGTGCTGCACCATGTGTACCAAGGCGGGAAGGTCGATTTCCATCATCACATGGAGAGGTCCATATCACGAATACGTCGATACCAAGTTATACAAGACGCCAGATCTAGCAGCAGCCTTCCATTCTGGATTTTGGGTAGACGAACCAGCGAACTGGTACCCAACCATCCAGTATCTTGCACATGCTCCACATCCAACTCTTTTTACTGCTGCTAGATACTTTGAGATTGAGCGAGAGATGAGAGTCTGGGAGACTCTGGAGGCGGAATTCGTGAAGAACGCTGAAGTAAATAAGTGGAAGGGGATGTCTCCTTCTCTGGGGGTGTGTGGAGACAGGCCGAACGAGGTCAGCTATAAAAACCATTGGTGGTATATTGTGAAACAAACGTGATTTGGAAACATTAATGGCATTATTGCGACTAAAATTCGGAAATCAGAGTCATGAGATTGATCTTTCATCGACATCGGTTTTCTTTGCGTGCCGAGTGAAAGTCGTCGCCTCGGCTCTCCGCCCCCTTGGCCGCTGCTGCATTGCTATGCATGAAAGCCAGCACACATCTCCCAATCACACCAATCCGCTTCATGCATACGCATGCATAAGATATTGCACGAGGCCACCACTTCCATCTCTCTACCTGACATCTCATCTTGCAAATGCGCTTCATCATTCCCCCTTTCCGCCTCTTCCTTTTGTCTACGTACCTCGTATACACCACTATGTCAACCCAGAGTGTGGCTGATTCATTGCCCGTAACGCGTATTGCGACATTCAGGTTTCGCGATGAGGTGACACCGGCGCAGAAGGGTGATCGCACCGCAGCTTTTCTGGCGCTCTATGCCGAGCATCCTGAGTTGCTTGCCGAAGGACCCAAGGGAGGCAGGCCATTGAACACACCACTCAATTTGACCAACGTGAAGAGGGAAAGTGTTTGGGATACAGGTTTCGTGGTCGTTTTCAAGGTAAATCAGTTTCAAGTCGTTTCGTGTGTGGTGTATTGGATCGACGAGGGGAAGAGCCAGCGAATTTGGATGGTTATGAGAAAGAAGAGAAGACTGATGAGCGGTAGGATGAGGCTGCGAGGCAGAAGTTCGATCTCGATCCTGGGCACGATAGGTTGAAGGTAAGTCTTCTTGTCCAAAACCCTTTCTTCCCGTTTGCATTCGCACGTTCAATAAAGCTGATCAACAATGCAGGAGGAAACAGATCCGTTGCTGGAGCAGGTGTTTGTGTATGATTTTGTTGCACAGCCAAACCTGGGTTGGTAAGAGTCACATAGTCGGATGATTATGTTAATATTCAAAGGAAAAATTGATTGTATGATGGCAGTATAGAAGCAGGAAGTTTGGAAGCGCTTTGCCTGACTAAGTTGGGCATCATCCGACTCACTGTGTGCGGAGAATTTTCCTTGTCATGTCTCTTTCTTTCAGTATGCAGTGGCTTTTTGGAAGAATAAATCTATTCGTATCTGGAATCATCTGTACAGACTTCTCAAACTTGATCAGAAGACATGACTATGGTATTTTGTAACCTACATACATACCAAGTTAGACAAAAGCATTGTCAGTCATATCAGGTCGTGAAGTATTCATAACGCTGAGACATACGGATCCTCCCGAGCCATTTCCATGGCTGCCTTTGACATCCCAATTTGGCGTTAATCCAATTGCTGGACTCCTGGGATTGTCAGATAGGGGAGCTGCTGCACACAACTATACATGAGCACCAACATAACCGTACACTTGGAATTGAACTATAAGATCTGCACCAATAATTCCTGTCCTCCACCACCTATTGTTTTGAAAGTTGCCTCCGTTCATCCAATGAATACCATCCGCACTGCGATAGAAGTTCAGGTTAGGAGTGGTGTTGATATAGACTAGTAGAAGCTGTGTACATGATCATACAACTGGCCAAGTCAAGTTTGCCCAAAAACGATCCCATTGCAGCACTGAAAATACAGGATGACTTAATCTTCACTTTCCCAGCCGGTAAAAACACAACACGAGCTATTGATTTAGCATGATTTACTGTAATCCTTCATCCACTCACGCTGTAAGCCGGAATCTACAGAATTTGAAAAATTTACCGGGGTGTTTTGGCCAACAGAGTATCTGTGACATCGAATCCTCCGAGATAGGGTGAAGCTGTAGAGGGGCTTGATGAAAGACATTGGCAGATATTAGCATCTATGATGCAACTGATTGATAAAAGTGAGCTGTATAAAGCTGATTCATGATTTCAAGTTGACATCTTCATTGCCTTGCCACGACCAACTCTCGCTCTATAAACATGTTTTCTCGCTTCAACATGCCTCTACAAACATCCATTACCCTTTTCGCAGCTTTACTAGCCCTTCTACCGCCTGTACACGTCAACATTGCTCACGGAATGCTCACGGAAGCTGGATGCAGCTTGACTGTTATGTTGGACATTTATACAAGGTCGGCCAGCTGCTTGATTCCAACCATGATCTTTATTAAGACTGACAACTTAACACCCAAGCCTGCAACAATGATTACGCTTCCTTTGTGGTAAGTACTATCATGACCTAAACTTATTTTAACCCGCGACACTACTGACTTCATGTAGGCGAGATATAGCCTTGGACGCGACAGAGCAAGATGATGCTCTATTCGCTCTAAATGAATGTAACAAACATGACTGAAGTGCATCAACTATAACGCCGAAGATTTGAACGGGGCTTATTGGTGGAGAGCTGCAAGAAGCAAGCTCATAATTTTTGGTATGGCGTTGATAGAATTACTGGCGATGTCAATATCGATGGTTCTCCTTACAAGGCTTATGATGCCGAAGGCCGCGGCTATCGAGGGCTTAGTGCAGGTGATATGAAAGCAGAGGATCGAGAGAATTAAATCAGTGTTGAGGCATCAATACTGATGAGGAGGATTTTCTTTCCTCGGACTTTGTGTCTCTCACTTTCTAGCGAGAGTTTTCCTTGCGCTTTTGATACGTTGTCATTTTACTCTGACTTTTCCAAGCTTACAGCATGTCGCCATTTTTGCTTCCATGCTCATAGGAAGTATGTTTATGAGAAAGATAGTTTAATCTCAGCAAGACTGCCAGCAGGATAGCTCTCTCCATCAAATAGGTCACTCAAATGTTGGTCTTGTTATGGCACTCACCCAAAAGAATACAGTATCTTAGCACCTACCTGGGATTTGTAGCTGTTCCGAGTCTACACCACAGAATCAACCTCACACAACAATTTTATTTGACATCTAATTGTCCAAATTTTCTATAGCAACCATCGCTACTCTGATTCATCCAGTTCCCGAGCTTCGGGTGGCGAAGGGAATGCTTTCACTGCCAAGGACTCAACTGTTTGCTCTGTACTTATGTAACGCAAACGCACTTCAAGCTCTGTTATTTTAAATCCCAACAATCAGTTCTACTCCTTAGCTACTCAGGCTAATTCTCATTACCTGCTTTCCGACCCTAACTCATAAATATCACTCACAATGTCTGCTCCAGACGACACGAACCTCAAAGCCCTACTCCTTCTTTCTAAGGAGAGTCCTTTGGCACGTGCTCGCGAAAGCCTTCTCAGAGGTTTGCCTGATGACGAACTGGCCGAGTTGGTCGCGCAAATGATCAGTCGAGACAAGCCGCGAGGTGATCTAGAAGAGATTGCACGTATGATGCTAGATGTCATTATGAGGCGTGATGCCCAGAATGATGCCCTCATCAGTCTCGCTACGAAGAATGACACGGCGGTTACAACAAGCGATAGGGAGATTAAGGCCAATTATACGTCAGGTAAATGGAGGCTTTGCCCTGAGGGACAGAACACTTGTTAACAGAAAATAAAAAGCAGGTACACAGACGGCTCACAACACTAGCGTTGTTTCGAACGTATCCGAAGAAACGATAAAAAACAACAGTGCTCCGCCGTCTAGAAAGAGACCCGCTAGCAAGCAACCCCCTTCCACGGATCAAGAGACTGCCAGTACAAAGCGTGCAAAACATGGAGATGGTCAGTAAACCAGGCCCGGATATACCAACATCACAGCTGACGGCTTCTTAGCAGTAACAGGAAACAAGAAAATTTCACTTCGTAATCATAACCTGGGATTCATGTTAGGACAAACTAAACAAGCGATCGAAGTCGTCTACTGGGATCCCCGTCAGAAGGACTACTCCTCACTAGCACTTGGCAACGTCCACAACCATTTGGTCAATGTTCTCGTTGACAGATTTTTTATCGATTACCTCCCTGGTGATATCGAAATCTGCGCATCGGAGGATTTCCTACAGTCGCAGGAGGATTGCACTTCAACTCAATTGCGCGTCAACAAAGTATTCGAGAGGCTGGTAGAACGAGGTCGAGGTCGGCACTGCATTTTAGGCGATACCTCGACGGCGTGCGATATGTGCATTAAGGGAAAAAGGCTCTGTACCCGTGTAGTCAGGGTTGGAGGATTGAATAAGCTTGGCTTCTTTCCTTTGCCAGAAGATCTACGGGTTGGCCGGAAACTACAAGAACTGGAGTTCTGGGTGCAGCCTTGAAACTATTGAAGGTCTAAAGTCTAAGGTTACGATACGAACATGGTTGAAACTGGCACGATTGCCTATCTAATGAACAGACAATTTAGTTACCGTTTGGAAACCAGGCACAGGGATGCTGGCTTAATCGCTCGACAACCCTGATCCTAGCATCCGATCCGTACCACCGCCGTGATGCACGCGGCCCGTTGACCGCGCTGGAGCGTTGATGGATATTTATGTAAGATAATGGAGAAAGCAAATGCCATGAGGGGCCATGTGTACTAATAGTCTGAATGCTAATACATACTACAAATCTCATGGCCCACTCAATATCAAACTACGCATTGTGCACACGAGAATAAAATGTATATTCTTATCATCTTTTTCATCTTCTCTTGGCTCTAGTTTTGGCCACTACTCAGAACAGCGTATGAATTGGTAATGTCTTGTTTGGATTGTTGTCTCTGTTCAGCCTTCCTCTTTTTTCTGTCCGCTTCTCTCAACTGGCGCTTCTTCTTCTTGTTTGAAACGTTCTCCGTAGGTACCTCAACGCCAGCAGAGACATAGATCTCTTCAACTAAAGCTCGCAATTCGTCGTGGTTTGCTAATACGCGCTTTGACTGTCCTGGCACGCCAAATCCTTCGGGTATAGACGGAAGAGTACGCATATGTTGGTCCAAGCTGAGTAGGCAGTTATGTAACGCTTGATCTGCCTTTGGTTTGACTACAAGCCATACTCTCACAACTTGACTGAACATGCGCAGTGAGTACAATGCGGACTGTAGACGAGCCATGAGTTGTACAAAAGCCCAGGTATTGTCAAAATCGCCATTGATCACCCGAAGTACCAAAGGAATGGCAGGAGCGCTATTGAGCTCAGCGAGTACCAGACTAAGCGCGAAGAGTGGCCAGAGTTGCATGGGTTGAAGTTTTCTAGAAATAGCCCAGTCCATCAGGGTGCGAATCTGTCGCTCAAGTTCTGTGATTGGTACTGGCAGGTCCACTAGAGAATATGCAACAACCTCTTGTACAGCAACGACCTGCGCCTTCCGCCTATATTCGTGAACAACCACTTTCTCAGCCGCTAGCAATGAGTAAGCCATTTTGCGAATATTACAGCCAACATTCCATGCAGATGCTTGGCTGGGGTCTTCCATCAGGAGGGGCATGTAAACAAATGGGGTATGGGAATGTTCCAAAGCTTGGTGCACGAATTCTGACACTCGAACATCCAGTCCGGGCAGACTGGATAGAGTATTTTTTGAGTCGGATTTGTAGATTGGGGCCACAACTTCGGTAATATACCTTTTGGTAAAGTCCAGGTACGGTGTAGAATCTTTATCCACGCTCTTGGCATTGCGGAGGAGATCGTTGGCCGTATCCTGAGGGCCTTGCAGAACAGCAAAGGCAAACGGTAACAGACTTTTCAACTGCAACTTCTTTTGAATCTCATCGGGCCAGTACGCTTTGATGCCAGTAGCTACGTCCGCATCATGTAGAAAGACTATCAACGTGTCTGCGCAATAGTCGTAAAGGACGAGGTCTGTATCGCTGGTGAAGATGATGGATTTGGCATTCTCTTTAGCATGTAACGCACACCAATCGTCTGCTTCTCCGGGTACAATGTGCGTCCTCGAGGAAAAAGGTGACTTTTTTAACGCTTCTTGCAGCGCTGGAGCAAGGAAGGCATAGGATATCGAACCTAGGTAAGTGGGAACAGGGCATGCAGTTGTCGAGTAATTTGCACGGAGCTGCTGTACACGCCTGTTGTTCTGTTCGGTCCTTGACAGCCTCTCAGTCCGCTTTGATGCAGGCAGGGCTCCGTCGAAGAAGATGGCAACCCTGGCGAAGCGCAATCAGCGATGGAGGTCGTGGGGCAATCATTGGCATAAGTTCCAGCACAAAAGATGTGGAGATCCGTTGCACCCGAGGGTACACCGCTGGCCTGGCGGACATTTGACAACGTAAATGTTCGAATGCCGAGCAAACCCCTGTGCGAAGAGCGGTGAATAAGGCGACATTTGTGCGCATCTTATTGGTTTTGCAGCCAAGTTCCATGGGGGTGAAATATCGATTTGGTGTGCACACCGGCAAGGCGACGAAAAGCAACGACGGTTCACTCACACCTTGATGTTGTTGGCTTCCAGATCGGTTAACCAGCAAAGAGCCTGAGAGACGATGTCTGAATAAGAGGGCATTCGCGAGGCGCTAGCCGTAGCTGCGAGAGCCAGCTTGTGAGCATGATAGGCGAGTGCGGGCCCATCGACCACGGCCGAATAGCCGTCGAGCTGGTCAGAGGAAAAGCGCGTGGCGTATGGCTCCAGACGTCTAGCGAGTCCCTGAATGCCCATGTTGTCTGGGGCAACTGCGCGGCTGTGCAGAACCCGGTTTCGACAGGGTGGAGTATCGGGTGATGCAGGTGTTGAGGGCTCTGCAATCAGACCTTTTTTTTCTGGCCTCACAGCCCGGGAGGCAAAAGAGCTTGACGAGGCACACAACAGGCGCCTCGACCTTGAATGCAGCTCTAGCGCGTGCGGGCAGCGGCTGTTGGGAATGGACAAGAGAAAATCTGGTCAAGATAGTCGAGCGTGGCGTTGTCTTTCTCTAGGATGAGCTAGCTCCGGCGTCATCCCGCGAGGTGGNAAGCAGGAGCTGCCCCTCTCCCCAGCCTAAAAGTTGCCCGCTGCTGCCACGCCCCAACATTCCTCTCAATTGCTTTGATCTTTCGTTGCATTGTTTCAAGCAAACCCTCACACACCCATCATGAGCGTCCGAACTGTCGAATTGAAGCCTTTCCAGGACCAGAAGCCCGGAACGTAAGTTGCAACTCTAAGCTCGGCCAGCCCCATAGAGAAAGCTCCCTAGTACAAGGCAAGCAGCTAACCACGACGCTATAGTTCTGGTCTCCGCAAGAAGGTCAAGGTCTTCCAGCAGGAGCACTACTCGGAGGCTTTCGTTACCAGCATCCTCCTATCTATTCCCGAAGGCGTCGAGGGCTCGTTCCTTGTCGTTGGTGGTGATGGTCGTTACTGGAACCCTGAGGTCACCCAGGCCATTGCTAAGATTGGCGCTGCCTATGGCGTCAAGAAGCTCTTGATCGGCCAGAATGGCATCATGAGCACGCCTGCCGCCAGTCATCTCATCCGTATCCGTAAGGCGACGGGTGGCATCCTGCTGACTGCCAGCCACAACCCCGGTGGTAAGTGGCTGCCCCTCCCGTCTCATGTGGTTCCACCCCAAAATCTAACACCTCTCAGGCCCCGAGGAGGACTTTGGCATCAAGTACAACTTGGCCAATGGTGCTCCCGCTCCCGAGAGCGTCACCAACAAGATCTACGAAACCTCCAAGACGCTCACCTCATACAAGATCGCCGACATTCCTGATATCGACCTCAGCACCATTGGCACACAAAAGTATGGAGAGCTCGAGGTTGAGATTGTCCACTCCACTGAGGACTACCTCAAGATGCTCAAGGACATCTTTGACTTCGATCTCATCAAGTCTTTCCTCAAGCAGCACCCCGACTTCAAGGTTCTCTTTGACGGTCTGAGCGGTGTTACTGGCTCTTACGGAGTCGACATCTTCGAGAAGGAGCTCGGTATCCCCAACAGCACACAGAACTGCGTCCCCAAGCCAGACTTTGGTGGTCACCACCCCGACCCTAACCTCGTCTATGCCAAGTCGCTGGTCGACGCCGTTGACAAGAATGGAATTCACTTTGGTGCTGCCAGTGACGGTGACGGTGACCGAAACATGATCTATGGTGCCAAGTCATTTGTCTCCCCCGGTGACAGTCTGGCTATCATTGCCCACCACGCAGAGCTCATCCCATACTTCAAGAAGCAGGGTATCTACGGTCTTGCCCGTAGCATGCCCACGTCTGGTGGGATTGACCTTGTCGCCAAGGCGAAGGGCGTCGAGTGCTACGAAGTGCCCACTGGCTGGAAGTTCTTCTGTGGTCTTTTTGACTCCAACAAGATGAACATTTGCGGTGAGGAGAGCTTCGGAACCGGTAGCAATCACATCCGTGAGAAGGACGGTCTGTGGGCTGTTGTCGCCTGGCTGAACATCCTGGCTGGCGTCGGACAGAAGAGTGGTACCACACCCAGCATTGCTTCAGTTCAGAAGGACTTCTGGAAGACTTACGGACGTACCTTCTTCACCCGATACGACTACGAGGGCTGCGAGACCGAGGGTGCCAACAAGGTCACAAGCCACATGAAGGAGCTCATCACGACCAAGAAGGACGAGTTTGTTGGTTCAACCATCGCTGGCCGCAAGGTCACCGAGGCGGACGACTTCTCGTACACAGACCTCGACGGCAGCGTCAGCAAAAACCAGGGTATCTATGTCAAGTTCGATGACGGCAGCCGCATTGTCGTGCGTCTGTCCGGTACAGGAAGCAGCGGCGCCACCATCCGTCTGTATATCGAGAAGCACACTAGTGACGAGTCTACCTACGACATGGATGCCCAAGACTTCCTCAAGGACAACGTCAAGCTTGCCACTGACCTCCTGAAGCTTCAGGAGTACATTGGCCGCACCGAGCCCGATGTCAAGACATAAGCGTGTTGATGGAATAGATGTATGTGTAGAGTAATGAGCATGACGAGACGAGTAGGCCACGATCGCACGACTTTAGCATGATAGTGAATTGTAAAAGTAACAACGTAGCGTTTGCGTCCTGCCAAGATTGCTGTGATTGATGCCTGTTGGTAAGGTCGTCGAGGTGCACCGTGTGACCAGCCAAATTTGCATTATTGATACTTCTGAGTAATAGGAGCCCTGCGTCCTGGTGGCGATACTCGTATCTGGGAGCGTGGCGGGTGAGATCATCATGGCAGACTTGATGTTGCGCGTCCCGCTAATTAGCCTGGAGACGTCATCTGAAACTAAACGCGCCGTCTCCATAACACAAGCACTGGGCCTTCCCACCGCTAACTTGTCGCATCCCCCGCTTTTCACGCATCTCTACCCACGCGCACTACCCCGTAAAAGGCTTCCGCACCCCCAGTCTCCTACAAGGACACCAACACACGCCAAATCAACAACAAGTCGCAATCATGGCCGAGAAAGAAGGCGCCGCTGTGCCCCCTCAGGCAAAGAGCTCGTGGTCAAGCTTCCTCAAGGTACGGCACGAGACCATCGCAAGCACGCTCTAGTCTTTGCACCGAGAAATCTCGCCAGTTCCTGGCGTGGGAAGGACAGATGGAATTGCCAAAAAATTCTTCTTTGCCTCAGATTCAACTAGCTAACATCTGACAATAGTCCATCGCCTCCTTTAATGGCGATCTTTCGACTATGACCGCGCCCGCCTTTATCCTCTCTACAAAGTCGCTCACCGAGTTTTCGTCCTACTGGACCGAGCACCCGTCCCTGTTCGTCGCGCCCGCCGCCGAGCAAGACCCTGCTAAACGGGCTATGCTGGTGTTGAAGTGGTTCCTAAGCACATTGAAACAACAGTATGCTAGTCGGTCTGAGAAGTTGGGTAGCGAGAAGAAGCCCCTCAACCCGTTCCTGGGAGAGCTATTCTTGGGCAAATGGGAAGATGAGGCTGGCACCACGCAGCTCGTGAGTGAGCAAGTCAGGTACGTAGGCATCTTCATTGGCTTGAGATTAGTGGGAAGATACCATTGGGTAGGTCTGATGTCTGCCAGTGGTCTTACTAACGCAATGTGTCCAGTCACCACCCACCAGTTACTGCCTACGCTATCTGGAACGACAAACACGGGGTCCGGCTAGAGGGTTACAATGCCCAGAAGGCATCGTTCAAGACCACCATCAATGTCAAAGTGAGTCAGGTACCTGTGTTCTTACATGATTCGATATTAATGGACAATAGCAAATTGGACATGCCATGCTTCATCTGGATGGCTTCAACGAGAGCTATCTCATTACTCTCCCTTCTCTTCACATCGAAGGCCTTATTACCGGTTCACCATATGTGGAGTTGAACAGCAGCACCTACATCCAATCCTCAACTGGATACACCGCGCGCATCGATTACAGCGGGAAGGGCTGGGTATCGGGAAAGAAGAACACTTTCTCTGCAATTCTATATCCCGAGGGAAAGGAGAAGGAGGTCATCTACAAGGCAGACGGACAATGGAACGACACATTCCAGATCAAAGATGCAAAGACCAAGACTGTCGTTGACACATTTGACCACAAGACCACCAAGACGACACCCCTGACTGTCGCCGAGATTGAGGACCAGGATGATTTTGAGACGCGAAGAGCGTGGAAGAAGGTTTCAGATGCCATCAACTCGGGCAACATGGAATTGACTTCGGCTGAAAAGACCATCATCGAGACTCGCCAGCGAGAGATGAGACAGCAAGAAAAGGACGAAAGTCGCGAGTGGGAGCGCAAGTTCTTCACCCGTGCAACGGAATACCCACTATTTGAGCAACTTGCCACGAAGATTGGCGAGAGCGTCAACGACAGCCAGACAAACGGCGTGTGGAGCTTTGACAAGCAGAAGGCGGACACAGCCAAGTCGCCCTACCACCCGACCGTTGTTCCTCCGATCTACGAGCGAAAGTGAAGTAATGTATTTTGACACTTTCTTCAACCTCGAACGGTTGCTGTTCGTTATGGATTATGAGAGTTATAATGCTGGAAGAAGAATCAGGGCGAAGGGAAAGGGCCAATGGTGGTGAAGAAGGAAATTTCGGTGGGGTTTGTGCACAGGGAAAACCACGTATATGGAACGATGGGTGATGCAAAGGCATCTTAATGAAGGATTTTTATAAACTAGGTATAAAATACAAAAGAGGCCCAACAAAACTTTGGAGTTAATCCCAAGGAACATCAGGTCAGAATGATGGTGAAATAATTGCTTTTTTGGCTTGATTTTTTACATGTACTAGTACAGTGAGCTCAAGGCGCCAGCCTATTAGGCATCTTTGGTCTCAGTCCGCTTATTGTTCCCATGACGCTGCCAGCACTGTCGGAATATCTCCATCTAGACAGACTGTGTTAGCTGCTTTCTGGTGTTGTGACTGTTCGGCTCCGTCTCGGCTTCCGGGCTAAGGGCAGCACTCGACCTACCTCTTGCTTGCACCCTCGCCAGTCCTTCTTGTCATAGTAACAATCAGTCAGTTTGGCGTTTTCGTCTGCATAGAGGTCAATTGAGCTTTCTTTTCAACTCCACTCCGCTCAGCATACCTGCACAGCCTGTGCTGAAAATACGCTTGTCCCTGCGTATCGTCATTAGCTTTGCTGCTCGCAACACCGGAATTGCCACCCACCAGTCATCGGGTTCGTCATCAATCATCAACTGCGCAGCAGCGGCACGTGCCTTGTCATCGTTTGACATCTTGAAGAGCTTGGGATTCGGAATTGGTGGTGTTGAGGTCGAGTGAGTCGCGCAGACGGACGTACCCTGAAGGTGCACGGACAAACTCGGTCCGCCTGGTGAACGTCACCATACTGTATCAAGCAACATGGCATCCAAGAAGATGAATGTCTTGGTTTACTCGGGTATGATGACTTGGAAGAGATTGGGAAAAGAAACTGATGCATCGTAGGTCATGGCAGTACCACCGAGTCTGTTCGTAATTGTATATACACTTTACGGCGGTTATTGTCTCCTTCGTATGCCGTCATACCCGTCACGGGAGACGTGATCATCAAGGAGCCATGGTTCAGCACTTGCGCGCTTCTTGTTTTTCCAGGAGGTGCCGATATGGCATATTGCCGTACGCTCAATGGCGAGGGAAACCGCCGTATCAGTCGTTATGTGAATGCCGGTGGTTCCTACCTCGGCTTCTGCGCAGGCGGTTACTATGGTAGTGCGAAATGCGAATTTGAACTCGATGACCCCAACATGGCAGTAGAAGGCGATCGCGAACTCGCCTTCTTCCCAGGGACGTGTCGTGGACTGGCATTTGCAGGGTTCAAGTATGCTAGTGAGGCTGGTGCCAGGGCGGCGGACATAAAGATCCATAAGGAAGCTTTTGATGGCGTTACTGAAGGTGTTGCAGATACTTTCAAGAGCTATTATAATGGAGGCGGTGTGTTTGTTGATGCAAAAAAGTTGGAGAGTCGGGGTGTACAGATCCTTGCCAGCTACACTGAAGACTTGCATGTCGATTCGGGGGATAGCAAGGCTGCGGTGGTGTATCGAAAAGTTGGTGACGGTCATGCTATCGTTACCGGTCCGCATCCTGAGTATGTTTACCACTTTTCGTACCAAACTCGTTATCTAACTCTAGACAGATTCGCACCACAAAACCTCAGCGTCGTACCAAGCTTGCCAAACTACAAAGAACTGATTGACGACATCGCCGCCACAGATGGCACTAGAGTAGACTTCATGCGCTTGGTCCTCGAGAAACTTGGCTTGCGTGCTAATGAGAAGGAACAAGCGGTACCGTCCCTCTCCCGCCTGCATCTCACTGCTCATAACCTAGCAGACGTCTCGGCACTCGTTGCCAGCTGGGCTGAAATCGTCACTGTAGTCGATGGTGACGAGTACATCAAGGGAGGCAATGATGTGTTCCGCATAGAGAAAGAAGGAACCGCTTGGAGTGTGAGAGAGCTGAAGAGAGCCGTGAGTGCGGTGTCAGAGAAATTGCCTATACTGGCTGCTGTGACGGACGGCGGAAAAGAGCATGTAGACAAGGACCATGTGGAGGAGAAAAGCAAAAAGAACAGACCCAAGACAGATGAGGAAGAGATACAAGAGTGCATCGAGTACACTGCAAGTACCGACCCAGATCAGATTTTGGAGTATGAGAAGATTGTCAAGGTCGTGATCCCACATGAGAAGGCGCTTCCATCGACAAAGGATACACCATTTCATCACGAAGCCTACTATGCTAATCTACACCATTACCATAACAAGCTGCGCAACCCAGCTGCGTCGTTTGGAAAACAAGTCATCTACGGCGAGGTGGTGACTTCTACAAACACACTGCTCGAAAAGAATCCGTCACTACTGCGAAGTCTACCCAACGGCTTCACCATGACTGCAACAACGCAGATTGCCGGACGCGGTCGAGGCAGCAATGTATGGGTTGCACCTAGGGGAGCCCTAATGTTCTCGACGGTTCTGCACCACTCCTTCTCACTCAGCCAAAGCGCACCAGTCATCTTCATCCAGTACCTCGCCGCACTGGCCATTGTGCAAGGTATCAAGGGCTACGCACCCGGCTACGAAAAGATGCCCGTAAAACTCAAATGGCCCAACGACATCTACGCCCAACTGCCCGGGTCCGCCAACAACCCCGTTGTCAAGATCGGCGGTATCCTCGTAAATAGCAGCTACTCGGGCTCCTCATACGACGTCGTGACAGGCATAGGGCTGAATTTGTCCAACGCGCTCCCGACAACCTCGCTCAACATGCTCGCATCGAGCCTCTCACCGCCGCTAAAACCCCTGACGCACGAAAAGCTCCTTGCGTCCATCCTTGCGCACTTTGAGACGCTATACGCGTCGTTTTGCCACTCGGGGTTTAATCGCGAGATGGAAGGGGAGTATTATGATTGTTGGTTGCATACGAACCAGATTGTTACGCTGGAGAGTGAGGGTGGGGTTAAGGCGAGGATTAAGGGGATTACGCGGGATTGGGGGCTGCTGCTTGCGGAGGAGCTGGGGTATGAGGAGAGGCCCACGGGCAAGGTGGTTACTTTGCAGAGTGATAGTAATAGTTTTGATTTCTTTAGGGGGTTGGTCAGACGAAAGGTGTAGGGTGAACTTGATTTGCTGGGTTCTATGGGTGTTTGTGTAGAGAAAGGAGGCACTTGGAATGTTTGCATGTTGGTGATGGGTTGGGGTAAAATGAAAAAGTTTTTCTGATTTCAGATATTCTCTTGATGGTAGATTGACTGAGAAAGGTAAAAAAACAATACCATGCAATCACTTGCCCGAAATTCAACCAAGAACATAACGCGATGTTGTACTACCACGATGACGAGAGAGCCGCAATCCCACTAGTCCCGCTTGGCAGACAAGGATGCTTGCACCCCCTGCCACTTTGAAAGTCGGGAATTTCCCCAACACCATGACGACGGCGCAACATCGAACCCTCGACCAAAGGTCCAATTGCGGTCCCCTTCACCCCAACCACCACACAAGATGAATCTCTCCGCTTTCCGGCCCGTCTTCCGCTGCTCGGCCGCACCATGGATACAGCGACCGTCTTGCAATTGGCCAACCCTCACACGGCCACAGCTCGAACAAAAGAAACCCAGCACACAGTCGTCCCCCTTCTCCTCTACATGCCGGCTGCAAAAGCGCTCGAAGAAAGGTGGAGGCAATGATCCAAGAATAAGTGCGTTTTCTCCCCGTTCCATCCCCACGCTCGCAACTTTCTTGTATACGAATGCTAATTGGATTTGGAAAAAACAAATAGCAAACATCCGCTACCACCTCTCACACCCGCTCACGCCGCGGCCACTACACTTTTCGCGCAACCGCTCGCTGCGGCACTGGACCATCCACCGCGCGTGGCTGCTCTTCCTGCGCAAGCGCCGGGCGGCCGAAGAAGGCGAGCTGGAGCGCCAGTACAACTGCATGCGGGCTGCGTGCGAGCACCTGCGGCTTCTGGACGATAAAGGGAATAGGGTGGCGGAGCACGAGGCGGGGGGCCAGGGCCCGGATGCGGGCAGGCTGGGCGTCAAGGGCAGGGACGTCGGCAGGTTGTATCGTAGTGCTATGCTTAAGAGGGGCGTCTGGGGGAGTGTGCCGGTCGAGTATGCGAGGGTGCAGACGGATTTTCCGCCGAGGGAGGGGTGGAATCATGCTTGGACGAGGAATTAGGGCATTCGTTGGTGGCTTATTAGTGTTTTGGTATGAGGGATACGGAATGTATATTATCTTGTGAAGAGACCAACTTGTTGTTTTTTTTTCATTCTGTCCAATAACTAAAAACTAGCCCCTACGTACCACACATCTTCTTGATCCATGTCTAGCACGCTCTTTTCCATTAGGACTTCAAACTCTGATAGAGGGGAAGAGGGGGGCTGTTCTTTTCGTCTGTCTGTTTATCTTTCTTCTCTCTGTCGCCTTGAACAACGTACATACGTATGAATATATATAAATATATAATCGGGTTACACACGCACACACACACAGACACACACACACACACATACGCACACATGACTCTAATACCCCTATCAACAAAAAAAAGCCCCCACAGAAGCAATCAACCTTGTCGTACATTAGAGTTTAAAAGACGTAGTAAAGAAAAGAAAAAAAACTCATCCTTTCTCATTGTCCGTTCCCTCAATTTCTCCTCTCTATCACCATCTCTTTACCAAAGACGGCAAAGAGAGAGAAACAAGCAATACAAGCAGAAAAACTCGCTCAGAACGAAAGATAGAACCAAGAAAGAAAAAGAGGCGCCAGGCAAGAAACTAGCAAACAGAAAAACGAGGGGATTTTAAAAAAAATGGCGTCAAAAGGCTAAGAAAATAGATGATATGAGAAATGTAAAAAGAGGATTATGGCCATTGAACTTGGATAAAACGGACATGTACTCCATGTAAAAAAAACAGGTTTTTACTCCGCCCAATGCATTTTATGTCAGTTGTGAGACAAAGAAGAAGAAGAAGAAGAAGAATAGAAAATCTTGGTTAAACATGGTAAAGAGAGCCAGTGAACGCTCAGCTTTTTTTTCTTTTTTTCTTTTTCTTTTTTTTCGTTTATAAAACGACGCATCCGCATCCTGGGTTTTCCTTCTTGTCGACAGAAAGAAGAGCGGCACGGGTAGCGGCTTCAAAGACGTCGTCGACACCGTCGCCGGTTAGAGAGCTGCACTCGAGGTATTTGCGGGCGCCAATCATGTCCTTCATATCACTGCCCTGCTTCGTGGTTGTGAAACGCAGTGACTTTTTGCGCATCTCTTCCTGGGCCAAGGGGTCGTCGCGGAGATCCTTTTTCAGGCCGACGAGGATAATGGGGACGGTGGGACAGCGTTCACGGGCCTCTTCGGCCCACTTGTGCTTGACATTGTCGAGGGAGTCGGGCGAGTCGACCGAGAAGCCAATAAGGATAACGTGTGCTTTGCTGTATGCAAGAGGGCGCAGACGCTCGTAATCTTCCTGTCCAGCCGTATCCCACAAGGCAAGCTGTACAGACTTGCCGTCTACTCTGCAGTCGGTGACGTAGTTTTCAAAAACTGTTGGGACGTATCGCTACGAGGGGGCGTTAGCATGCTGGGTTGAAGAGGAAGGTGTCGTTGGCGGGTGGCAACGAGTACGAGGACATACGGTTGGAAAGTAACCCAAGGTGAAGACGCTCAGCAAACTGGTCTTGCCGCAGGCACCGTCGCCAATAATGACTAGCTTCCTAGAGGGAGACGATCAGCAGGGTGCGCAAGAGGTGCATGGTGTGGATGCAGTGTCGGAGGGGTGCTAGGGTGTGATGCTGATGCAGGAGGGCCGAAAGCAGCAAGAATTGAGCGCGAGTCGATAAAAAGCGGGCATGGGGATGGAGTGACACGGGCTATTTTTAGGCGGGCGAATGCGCGGACCGGGAGCGCCGTATGCAAGGTGTGACGCAAAAGCCGGGGTGCTACTGGCCAAAGTATCGACGCATGTCAAAGTTTGAGCAGCAGCCGGGCGGGTGAGACGGGGAAAGGAGGCGACGAAGAGGGCATGTGCATCGAGGGCGAGAGATGAAAGCGAGGCAGATGCGAGGATGGGAGGGAGCTGAGGAGCGACAGGGGTGTGTAGGACGAGGGTCAGGAAAACAAAAGGCTGGAATTGTACGCACCTGCGCATGACGGGCTCGCCGTTGTGCTGTTGTTGGGCCATGGCGGGTGTGGAGGGGAGGGGAGGGGAGCGTGAAGCGGCGCGGAGGGTCGAGAGTGGAGGATGGAGGATGGAGGATGGAGGATGAGGGAGACGGGCGAGCAGAGGGCTCGGATGCAATCAAGTAGCCGTGGTTGGGCGAGGGAGCAGCAGCGGCCGAGGGTGCAGCGACGTGTGTATCGCTATCGCGCGTGTGTCAACAAGCAGCGGCGCGGGCTGGGTGGACGGGCGTTGGGGGGGGGTGAGAGCGCGACGGGCAGCGAATGGACGGACGGGCGTGGTGACGAGCCAATGGGCGGGGGGCGATGCAGCGAGAGAGGGGGAGAAGCGAGGGCGTGAGGATGGCGGGAAGAGCGGACCTTGTCGGGGGCGGTGGAGTGAGGGAGGAGGAGGAGGAGCGGTGGTGGTGGTGATGGGGATGGCGGTGTTGATGTTGTTGGCGTGGGTGTTTGTGGTAGCGGGCAGTGTCAGTCTCGTGCGACAGCGACGGCGGCAGGGGAGCTAGCGACGGCCGGGCGAGGAATGGTTCCGTGGGCGGCGGGTGAGGCACACAGCACAGAGGGACGCCGGACCCTTTAATAATGAGCGTTGGCGATGGCGGCGGCGGCAGGCACGGGCGCGGGCTAGGTGAGGCGGCGGCGGCAGCGGGGCGTGTGTCGGGCGTGTCTGTGTGCGGCGGGTGTGCGTGGACGGGTATGGGTGGTGGTGGTGGTGGTGGTGGTGAGAGTCGGTGTGGGCGCAGGTGTGCTGGAGGCTCTCGCTGCTAAGTAGCCATGCTAGCAGCGCTGAGCGAGCAGCGACACGGGCGCGCGGCGGCGCAGCCACAGTCGCAGCCGGCGTGGTTGGTGCACAGCCGCCGCCTGCCTGCGTGTGCCTGTCTGCGCCTGCCGCCGCCGCCGCCGCGCCTGCCCTCGCTCTCCTGGCTCGCTGCAGGCAAGGCCGCACAGGCAAGTGCAAGGCTGGCCCGCGCCAAGACATGGCACCTGCCGCCCGCGACACTCCAACAACCGACGCCCTGCCGCTCTCCGCAAACACCAAGCCCTGCTCACCACCCGACCACGCCGACCGCGAGCCTCGCTCCCCCGCCAGCAAACCCCCCGCTGTGCCTCTACACGCCGCCTCCAGCACCCGCCCGCCCTGCCCGCCGCCCGCCCCCACCACTGCCCTGTGTACACGCCCGCCCCCGACCCATTCTCGCTCCACCACCTGCACGCCACGCCCACGGCCACTGCACTGCACCCCCGCTCCCATCCGCCCCATTGCCCCGCGAGTCCATGGCACAGGGCACCAGAGGTCCGCCCACGGCTGCCATGCCGCCCAACGGCACTGCGACTGCGACTCACGATCCCGCCCCAACCCCCGTCAACCGCAAGAAGCAAAAGCGACGCGAGAAGGAGGCGGCCAAGAAGGCCGCCCAGGAGCCTCACCCGCCTGCCTCTGCCCCTGCGCCTACCCGGAATGGCCTGCCCCCCGCCCAGCAGCAGCAGCAGCAGCAGCAGCAATCACAGCAGCAGCCACAGCAACTTCAACAGCAGCAGCAGCAGCAATATGCCCATCCCGAGCTCGACGAACCCCCGTACGAAGAGGGCGCCTACTACTCCGACGACGACGACTACGAGCACACATACGGCGCCAACGGCGACTACCAGCAGCCCTACGGCCACGCTCCCGTGCGCGGCAGCTCGGGCAAGAAGTCGCGACGCAAGAAGAAGGCGCCCTCTGCACCCCCGCCGCTGGCCTACTCGCAACATCTCCCCACGCGCCAGAGCCCCGCGCCAAACTCGCACTCGATGAACCGCTCCGCCTCCAAAAAAGACCGCATATGGAACACGTCCACAGCCGAGGAGCGGGAGCGCATACGCGACTTCTGGCTGTCCCTCGGCGAGGATGAGCGCAAGTCGCTAGTCAAGATTGAAAAAGAGGCCGTCCTGCGCAAGATGAAGGAGCAGCAGAAGCACTCGTGCAGTTGCACCGTCTGCGGCCGCAAGCGCACCGCCATCGAGGAGGAGCTGGAAGTGTTGTATGATGCATACTACGAGGAACTCGAGCAGTACGCGCACCACCAGCAAGACGTCGCTAGTTTCGTGCCCGAGGCTAATCATCGCTATGCGTCCAGTGCTCCTCATCCGCGCCCCATGCTCAATCCCCCGCAACCGCACGGCCCCTACGACGACGATGACGAGGAAGAGTACGACTCGGGCGAGGAAGACGACGAAGACTCCGAGTACGACAGCGAGATATCCTCCGAGGGCGATTACAGCTCCGGCGAACCCTCCCTACCGCCCCCAGAGCCCTCTGATTTTCTCCAGTTTGGCAGCAGTTTGCAGGTCAAAGGTATGCATACAAATACCACCAACCACACAATCCCCCCTATCCCCCCCCCCTGTTGGGAGCATGCTGATTCATCCCTTTAGGTGGCATACTTACAGTCGCTGACGATTTGCTCAAGAACGATGGGAAAAAGTTCATTGAAATGATGGAGCAGCTGGCCGAGCGGAGAATGCAGCGTGAAGAAGAGGCGCAATTCTCGGCCCACCCAAATATGCAACATCGTTCCTACGCCGGTCACAGTCACAGTGCTCCCCCGCCAGAAGACGACGACTATGACGACGAGGGCGAGGACGATGAGGACTACGACGACGACGAGTACGACGAGGATGAGGACGATGAGGAAGTGCGTATTTTTGTGTCGGAGTCTCACTACTTACAACTAATTGACCCCAGGGGACCATGACGGAGGAGCAGCGCATGGAGGAGGGTCGACGAATGTTTCAAATATTTGCAGCCCGGATGTTTGAGCAGCGAGTACTCCAAGCATATCGAGAAAAAGTGGCCGCAGAGCGCCAACAGCGGTTACTCGAAGAGCTAGCAGAAGAGGACATACGAAAGGACGCAAAAGAAGCAAAAAAGGCAAAGGAAGCCCAGAAGCGAAAGGAGAAGAAGGACAAGCAGAGGCAACAAAAGGCAGAGGAAAAGGCTCGCAAAGAGGCGGAACAAGCGGCC